TTTTCCATTTCCCCAAATCTTTGTGGTTGCTTACACCTTTGTTAAGGGAAGCCATAACAAATTACAAATTCCTCAGCGGGAATTTAAAACTTATGTGGAAATTAAGGAGACAATACCATATTTAGATCAGTGGTTAAACAGGGCAGATTAATGAAATTAACTTCCAATTATCAACCACTTTAATTAAACATAAAGCAATTAGCTAATTGCCCTTCTCCCAAATTATTGAGCATGTTTGCAAACAAATGTACTCATTACTAACTTCTTTTATGCAAAAGGACAAATTGGATTTAAGCTACTTACTGTGATAGGACTAGCTTTTCACAGCCTATGGTGTAGCTATACTTTTAATGAAAGCTTTTCATTATGATTTGCTGATCAAACATTCAGCATGAGAATTGGAAGCACAAAGTAACTTCTTTGCAAGGAAAACAGTGTTTTACATGTTAAGATTCTTCACATCCCCCCACCCCCCAACAACACACAATAACCACAGCTAAGTCTCAACCATCCGTGTTGGCATGCCAAACATGGCACAGTACAAACAATCATGAACTAGTGGTTGACTACGGAAGGAAATTCTGTTTCATAGTTAAGGACTCTAGCATTGGAATCAGTGTTAAGTATTATAATAGTCCTTACCCATCTTGCTAAGCAGCTATAGATCTAGTCAAAAGTTGCATGAGCCCCTAGCTGCAAATTTCATCTATCTTACCCTGAACAATGAGGACTATAAAAGGTCATATTCAAAAGTTGGTAAAAATATTAAATACTCCTTGTCCTCATCCCTCTCATTTTAATTACTTTTAACTGCTCCCCTTATCTAAATACAGCATTTTGGACAGAAAAAGGTAACAGACAAAAACTAACCTATAGAAAGTGATGGTAAAAGGATCTCCATAAACAGATGGAATTCTAGGCAGTCTGTTTAGTTATTCACCAGGTTAAAATGTATTGGAATCAGTGCCTTATCTGAAAAGTAGTTTTGTTTTTCAGCCAACATATATAACAATATTTGCAGTACAAGCCTAAACATGCCTATTCAAAAGTAAGCCTTGTTGGGCCTGTTCACATGTAACAACAATCTATCAGTTTAAAAACTGACAGGCTGTTGCACATGACAAGATGCACTGCTCTCAGTGTGCCTGCCTCTCCTGCTTTTACCTCACAAGCCATGATCAGCTGCTTCAGAGGTTGTTGAGTCAGATATCCAAACCTGGACTGATGGGTTGCTTAGGCGCTAAACGATGCAGTGGTTAGCCTAACAAATAAATCATGGATGTAGGATTAGCTCTTGCCTAAGAACTGTGTGTGTGTAAAAACATAACAAAAATGCATATCCCCAAAGGAAATACCATAATATTTGAAAGGGAGAGAACTCTGCAAAGAAATGCCTCAGTGTATATGAAGACTTCCCCCTCCTCCAAAAAAAAAAAAAAAAAAAAAGTGAGGCTGAATTTACCATTTATAAGAGGGCAAAGAAGCAAAATTATCCCTATAAAGTAGTACTTTCTTTAAAATATTGCTACACCTTTGTGGTGATGCTGTTTGGAACATTTATAAAACACCTGCATATATTGTAGAATTCTGTAAACTAGTGCTCCAAGATGGTACAAATAATGAATGGACACAATGCAGCCAAAGGTAAGCAATTTAGTCTGCAAGTTTGTATATGTTTAAATAGTAGTAAACCAACTGAATGCAATATGACTTCTGAGTAGTATACATAGAGAATTAAATTGATTACAATTGGAGGTTTGAGCACATATTTGACTCTTCTATTAAAACTAACTGGAGTTTCACTATAAGATATTCTTAATTTGGGCTGGATTGTGCTCAATATTTACCATCACCCTAGACAAAACTTCCTATTTCTAAACTGTGGGTTACTGGCTTACCACTTCTATGAGAACTAAGCTCAAATTATGCAGTTCTGTTGAGCCTAGACTATGAGTTTAAGAGAATTTCACTGTACATGACACAATACCTCAGAAGTGTATGTTGATCATAAGCATGTTTACCTATACACAGAATTTTCTCTCAGGTAACTGCATATGATTGCAACCTTGATATTTTTCAAATGCAGTAACTTTTTAGAACTCGTATCAAAAAGCAGGGATGGGGAACAGCTAGGTTCCAGTTTAACCTAGCCACAGAACCTTTCAATCTTGCCTTTGGGCTCTCTTCTGTTGGCACTGGCTCTGTCCCCATTAATATAGGGAAGCAGAACACGGAAAATTGCATAGGGAAGGAATGAGTTTGTTTTGTTGCAGTAGAGGGTTCATGTGTGTTGGAAAAGTATTAGAGCACCAATAGATCTTAAGTGCTTAGTTCCAGGTGTAGAAATCCAGATGGAGGAGGCTGGACGTACAGAAGCAAGAAAAATTGCTTTTTTTGGACAATGAGGATTCTTAAGAACATCTGATGGATATGGGATTAATAATTTGTGTGAGAGTGCGGGTGGGGAAGAAAGAATGAAAAGGTGAGTGAAAATGGATGGATGGATGGAGAGGTGGTGGATCTAAGATGATGATTTTAAGATTCCCTTTCCCCACTTGACATATACATATGCACACTCTCTTCCTCCACACTGTTTTGGTTAAGATTATTAAGGGTGTGTGTGGAGGTTCTGATCTTCCCTGCATTTATCTACACAAATAACACTTCAAAATACAGCAAAATAATTATTTTCCAAAGGTAAGTTTCAGCAGGAGTAGTAGTCAGTAGGAGAAAAATCTACACTCCTACATAAGAAACCTACACACTATATCCCCAATTTTTTGTAATGGTATATCATTTATACATGTTCACACATGAGAAACCAACACCAACCTTTACTATGACTGAAATGAACCAATTTCTAGCATCTGTATCTCAGACAAGGCATTTTGCAGGCCACATTATGTTTCTCACCGCTTTCAGTCTGGACTGCCAGTTCACAAAAGACAGAGAATGCAGCAAATAGCATTCTTTCCTCTATTTGGTCCTAGTAAGTGCCAGGGTGGCCTAATCACAGGAAAAATTATTTTGTAAAGTCTATGCTAGTTAACAAATCTTAATTTCCAGAAATTCTAAATTGTAAGAACATAAATTAGAACCAAAATCCATAAGCTCCTGGAAACTAGTGCTAACCCAAATATTTGGTTTCTGACAGTAATGTCGTAAAACTATATTTACACAGAAAAAAAAGTCCTCCAAATCCTAGCATGTCCCAGCCAGCCATGCTGGTTGGGGCATGCTGGGAGTTGGAGGACTTTTTCTTATAGGATTGCATCTGAAATAGCTCAGATTAGATACTATATAAAGATAACCAGGATAGGCCAGTGTGGCCTAAAACCACCCATTCTGAAATCTCACTAGCAAATCACATTTGCTTTAGAAGAATTTTTCTCCAGAAGGTCAAAAATTGTGTACTTGCCAACTATAAAGGAAAGCAACAGTATTCTTGCCAGGATGGAAGGCAGGTTTGGCAATTCTGACAAGAATATCAGGTATTAGGAAATAATCCTGCCAAACTAAGAGGGAGAAAGCCTGTAAGACTACTACTTCAGGACTAAATCCAACCTGTCAAGTAAATTCGTTCTAAGCAAATGGTTATGGAAAGCCACCTCCATGGAAATAAATGGAAATTAATTCCAAGTAGTGTAGGATGGGGGTGCACAACTCAATGACATACATAAAAATTTCAGACAATAAAAGAAACAATATATTCAAAATTGGGTAGTCAGGAATCAGCACTCATTAAAATATGGAATAGGGTCCTCTGAGTCATTCTTTAATATGTAGCCAATGCTGAACTGGAAACACCCTCACTTTACACATGTTACCATGAAACAAGAGACAAAAGCTAATGCCAGTTTAAAACCACTGCACTGTTATAATTCCCACCCTAATACTCTGAAATACACTGCAATTTGAAAATTTCTCCCATAAATAACAGATTTCTAAGTGTTTTGGCAGTAATTTACACTACATACACTACACTGAACTGGGTAACATAATAGTATATACTAGTTTTTTAAAATTGTCTATCGTTTTTACACACACACACACACACACACACACACAGTGATAGACACTGCATATGTGCACATGAGAGAAACATGCACAAATACATATGCTTACATAAATCACAATCTCCCATTACAGCAATATTTAGATTTGTTTCTGAAAAGCCAACCTAGAAGTTTCTCAACTTTGAATATATCACACTTTGTCACTCAAACTTCACACAAAAACAGGCAAATTAAAGAAATGTATAAAATAGCCCAAGTATTTGTAAAATAGTTTTAATACTATAGTAAAACTTTTCTGTCAATTTATTGAAATCACTTTTATTCTCCCCCCATATTGCACCAATATAAACAAAGACATTGAAAGAAAGTACGTTACATGTACTTTTTAATAATTCCTGTACATCACCTTGGACCCTAAACATTTATCTTTTCCCCACCTATCATTTTATCTTACCTTGAACAAGGAAGAGTCAGTTTCTGTCAGAGTCATCCCATATCAATTTCAGCTTGCTTGCACAGAAATATTAACCATTCTATGAGAATCTCCTACATTTTCAGACCTACTGCACAAGTTATTAAGTTTACATTAAACTTCTGGGGCAAGGGGAGTGGGAACCAAACACTGCTCTGTTTTTATGTTAAAATAATAAATGAAGAAAAACGTATTAAAATACACATTTTTCACCTTTTAAGTTGCATCTGAGCTTCAAAGGATTTTTTAAACACAAACATTTGTTTTTTGTAAAAAAAAAAAAAAAGTCCGTCCAACCCCACGTTTCTACAAAAGGTGTCTTTCTAAAAATCACACTTCATAAAAACGTACTGTACTTTTCTCCCCTTCTCTTTCTTTCCTCTTCCTCCTCCTCCTCCTTCTTTCTCTCTATACTACCTCCAAGATGGTAGGAAAGTTGTTGTTTTGGAGGGCAGAGGAACCGCTCTCTGGTGTTATGTCCTCTCAGTGCCTGTAGTGGTGCTGTAGGAGGCTGCTAAGCTCTCTTCTTGAGCAGCCCCAGCAGCCCTGCCTTCTTTGCTGGAGAATATATTCAGGGATTCCCCTTAATAATCACCTACCCTCTGAGCACTTTGTAGTTTTAAAATAATAAAGAGCGCCCGTTCAAAGCTTTCTTCTCTTCTAAAAGCAGGAATCTTTCTCTTCAGAGCCAGGGGGGCAGCAACAGCTCCTCAGCACTGAAGCAGCTCCGAGTCCATTCCCCGGTCCCTCTGCTGGGGAGGAAACTCTGGTCTGTCAGCCCAACAGAGGGAAGGGGGGAGAGGAGAGAGAGGAGAGAAAAAAAAGCAGCTGGAAAGGTAAGCCAGGCCTGGCCTTCATCCCCGGGCTCTCTTAGAGCGGCAGGCGGCGCTAAGTGCGCAGGGCGGGCGGCCAGGCGGGCTACGCGAGGCCGGGGATTCGAAGGAGCGCTCTAGGCCTTGGGGACTTAAGGGGGGGCGGCGGGATTTTGGAGGCCGTGGGGTGCTGTAGAGGGAAAGAGGGGGGCCGAAATGGCTGGGTCCTTTGCAACAGGGGAAAGGGACGGCGGCGCCGGGCTGTATTTGAGGGAGAGCGGGAGGGGGAACAGGCCTCAACCCAGCGAGGGCCTGCAAGCTCCCTGCCCCCGCAGGGTCCCGCTCCAGCGCTAGCCGGCCCCAAACACCAGGCACTAACGCGGGTTGAGACGGCATTTTCCCGCCTCCACCTTACTTTGGGGTTCGGGGGGTGGCTGGGAGAGCGCGTAAGCCCGGGAGCGTTGGCCGAGGCCCCAAGCCGTGCCGGGGACGGGGAGGAGGCGGACTGGGGCTGCGGGGCGCGAGGGGGGGAGAGGCTGTGGGACGGGGGAAGAGGATGAAGAACATTAAGCCGATCATCGTTTTTAACTATAATTTAAATTACAATTCGAACATGGTCCCCAGCTTTCAGTTTAGACTGCGGTCGGGTGTGTGCGTGCCGGGTCCCGACAAGACTTGGGGGAGCGCGTTTAGTAGTAGCTCCTGCCGCCGGCCTTTAAAGTTGAATTTAGGCACCGACCTCTTCCTTTTTCAAATTCCCTTGTTTATTTTATACTTGTGTATTAAACCAGGACTTGGTGTGAAATGAATGTAAGAATATTTTACTGTGTCCGAAATTGCAGGGGGGGGGGGGGACACACCACCTTCATTTTTTAACCCTTCTTTGCCCTACCCTTCCTCTTCCTCTTTCCCGTAAGTTATAATGTTAATTCGAATTTAAAGTTGTTCTGATGGTGGAAACTTTCTGGGATGCCCCCTTGTACTCGTACGTTGGACAAAGGGTTAAAGGTTCTGAGTAGAGTGGAGGAAGGGCATCTTGCTTCATACGTACTACAAGGTCCCACTAGGAAAAACTTCGCCACGCTTGTCATTACCTTGCATAGGTTAAGCTTTGCTTTAGACAGGGCAGGGGGGTACATCATGCCACCTCCCGCCAACTTCTTACTTCTGTAGTTCGTTTTTCAGGACTCCTCGATCTTCCCACTTAAGTATGTTGTAGGTGCTGTCACTGGAAGTCCAGCAGTGCTAACACGTGCTGGGTTTATGCATTACACCCGGTTTTGTGAATGAGTGTATTACACTGGCTGATCGCCTTGGTTCTGATCATACATAGCCTGCAAATATTGTACTGTCCAAGCCCCAATCCCATAAAATTGATATTGTGTAGTGTCAGAGTGTGTTGGGCAATAAATAATAGAAAAAAATTCTATAAATGATTGTTGAATTAGTTGAAAAGTCAGCATTTGTGCATAAAAGCCTTAAGAGAAAGCTTTTGTTGCAGATTATGCACCATAGTTTCAAGGATAAACCTGTCATTCTGTCTTGATTCCTTGGGCTGGATTTCATCAAAATAGAGAACTACATTGGGCACACTCCTGGGCATGCATTAAATCAAATTACTTAAAACCAAGGGAACCATTTTAGCCATAAGAAAAATTCCAGAATCTATATAGTATAATACTTTTATTAGCACTCAAAATGACTATATGTAGGTTATCCAGTTTATAAATTTTATAGATTGAATTAAAAATATTTTTATTAAACTAGCTAAAAGATGACAAAACATGTGCAAAGTTTTGAGAGCTCAAGATCCTTTCATGAGGAAACATCTTTGGTTGTACATGCAGTTGTAGTAGTAATGTTTTTCCTGATGAAGACATCCGAGAAGTGTGCACATTTATTGTGATCTTTGAGTTGTCATAATAAAGATATTATAGTATATGAATTTTGAAAAGTTACTTGAATTTGGATGCCCACAGTAGATTAGGCTTCCATCAGATGAACTTTTGACCACAATGCAAGAATTTTGGATCTTAGGGTTTGCGGCTTTGAATTTGTGTTTCTTGGACTGCAGCTCTTCAAGCTATTTGTCAAACAGCTTCTGGGACTGACAGGAGTTGTTATATGCAATACACAGAATAAGAAAGTTTAGAAAACAGCCCTATATGCTTGTAAGGACTTGAGTATGTTTTAAGCCAGACCTGGGCATTGTACAGTCCGTGGGCCACATCCGGCCCAATGGCTGACCCTGACTGGCCTGCATGAGGTCACTAGCAAATATTCAACCTGACTTCAGTGCACTTGTTGAAGCCCAAAACAGACTAGATTTCTCTCACTAAACAACAACAAAAAAGAACTGAGGTAATGCAAGCAAACAAAGCTGGATGCATTTATAGGGAATCCAAAGGCAACTTGGATTGTTGAGTTTTCTGTTTCTCTGTACTGTTATAATTCGTAAGCTCTGTACCTTACAATGTTAAGCACTGGGAGATTACATATGTTGTAAATTTGCGCTATAAAAGTAAATTTTATTTATTTATTGCTTTTCATGTAATGTTAATGATGTTTTTGTGAATATTCATTAAATAGTGTTGTTCTGTGCTCCACATTTTCATTGTATCATTGTAATGTTTCATATACTGTTTTTATAGAGATATGTATTGAGCAGAGCTGTAAGTGTATTGGTCCGGCCCTTAACAACTGTCAAAGTTTCTCATGTGGCCCCATAGGAAAATTAATTGCCCACCCCTGCTTTAAGCAATTCTTTGGATCTCAGCCTCTGTATTTGCATGCAGAACAATTCTGGATTTGCATTCAGAAGAAGAATCAGATGAAGTTAATAGACATAACTTAATGTTAATAGACATGATGGGAAACATGTATAGTCAAATTCAGGCGAGTGCAGGGCATTTTCTTTTTAGTCCTAAAAGTATGTCTGAATAATAAGGTGTATAGTGCACGAAGTTTTCATAGAAATGTGCATTTCAGAACTGTTGTTCAAACCAGCTTCCTGAGATTCTGAGTGGTGTTATGCTGGATGGGAAAACACCAGCTTTTCCACACCTTAAAATATTAAGTTTAAACTGCAGCCCAAATACATTCTAAGCCTAAACATGATGGTGAAGCAGTGTTAAAGTGTTAAAGCATTGTTATCTGCATTAGGCTTAGGCCTAATCTATGCTTTCACAAATATATTTGAAATCAAAGCCAATATTTAAAGCAAATTTCGTTAGACAGTAAGGGAAAAAGTAGTCTTTGTGTTTGAATTTTTATTTATTATGTAGTACCATCAGTGTGTTTGGTACTTCCTAGAGTACAAGAGGGCAGAACCTGACTTACCATCTTTTCTCCCATTTCTTGAGCTTGAATATTTCAGTATTTAATAAGTTACTGTATAACTGATAAATATTTTATAGATTCTACCTCCCAAAATGTACAGAACATTTTTAATAAGGTTATATTTCCAACTTCATTCTTGGTTTTCTTTCCTTGCAACAGTTTCTAAGTTAATTGTACATGCTCATATATAAATTTATCCCAATATGGAAGATAACAACCTATCTTAGAATGATTCTCCTCCTCCAATTTAGGAAAATAATTGTCAATCAGAGTATCAGGGTGTTTGTTTGTTTGTTTGTTTTTGGCCAAACAGTCCACTTAGCAGTCTCAACAAAGAAAGTGTTTGGATTTTAGTCAAATTGGTATGCCTGGTGGGGAGATATGTTGAGAGGATCCGTTGCAGGTCTTTCTGATTCAACACTATGAATTGTGATATTTTACCAGTGAGGAAATTCTCAAAATGTAGCAACTTGCAAAACATTGTAAGGAGTCTGACACTTTGCATTGTGCATACCAGAAACAGGACAATAATGTGGCAGCATTAAACACAACCCTATCCAAACTGTCAGAGTTACAGATGTTGCAAGCACATGGTTGTGAACACAAACATAACTTGTCAAAATGCGGATGGTTCATGTCAAGGTGGTTCTTTGCCCCAAATAGAGATAGGGTTCTGACTTGCTTGTCTTGGTGTCTTAGTAACTCTTTGCATGTCCTCAACAGTTTTAGCTTTGTAAACTGAAATTTCTCTTCCAGAGCTGGGAAAATGACAGTTTAAGAATTAGAGACAAGCTAAAGCTGAGGGTTTTAGTCTGCTGCTAAGTAATAAAATATTCTAAAATAAGATGTATCAATAAATTTCATGGGGAAAGGCCTCTAGAATAAGGGTTATCTGACAGTGAGATAGCGTATCCTATTTTTTTGTTCTGAATATTTTGGTCCCACCAGCCTACCTTGTCTACAGATTCTAAAAGTTTATCAGTTTTAGAGAGACAGAATGGGGGCATTTTTGTCACATCTAGCTTCTGGAGCTTTTTTTTAAAGTGGCTTGAAGTGTTCAAATATAGAATTACAGATGATAATGAGAAAAATGCTGCTGGGACTAAATTAACATCTTTCTGATATGTGGGAGTTGGTACTGAGAGCAAGATGATATGAGTCACTTTCACTCTGATCCTAAATACATGTGAAAAGAACTCATTAGTTTCAGTGGAACTTAGTTTCACATTTAGGGCTGTCATCATGAGCTCATACCTGGGGTTTACCACTGAGTAAACATATGTAGGATTGGGCTGTAAAATTGCTTAGTGATGTGCAGTAGAACCATGTCCCCACAGTTCATGCATAAGAGAGGAGGTTGCATTACCAGCTTCATCTAGTACCTGCTCCTAGTTGATTCACCTCTGCAAAACAACAAAGCAAGAAGAAACTGTTTGTCAGTTTGCATGGATAAATTCCTGCTGTGGAAGATGAGAGAAATACCTTGTGGGTGGGATATTAGGATCATGGCTGCTGTACCTCAGGATGAAAATGACAAAACATGAATAGTTCACCAGAAGATGATGAGTATCTGTTGTAAATTTGACTAGCACTGATCTGTGAAGTCTAAGAGGCTTTCATGGCAATAAGTTTAGCACCATAAAAACTTAAGGCTGCAATTCTAAGCACATGTACTAGTGAGTAAG